TGTTTTTAATCCAGAGGGAAGCCACAGGGTGGAGAACAGGTGGTTCATGGTGATCAGATCAAACATCTGATAACTGAGGGTGTTCTGGGTCATTATTCCTGGGTATATAATGGTCCTTTTTGTTGTTGTTGATTCAGATTTTCTTTTTGAAAATCTCTAAAACTCAAACTTTTTCTCTCTTACTGTTTTTACTTTTTGCATTATATTTTTAGTCTTTTGGCTTCTTTCATTCTTTTTCCTCAATGCCTATTATAGTTATTTTAATTTATTCTGTCCTGAATATCTTGAACAATCTTTCTAAGGTAACTTGTATGTTTTTCTTTCAATTTTTTACATTCTGTCAACCTCTTATTTCAAGTCTTCCTGATTTTTTTTTGTCTACTTATGTGCTGACTTTTAAAATTTCTGGCTAAATGTATTTTTTCCATATGTTAAAATGATTGTTCAGAGATATTTAATTAAAGTTGCAGTGCTGTATTACCTTTTTTGCTGACTCAGGGTTGTTCTAGTGGGAGAATTTCTTTTCCACAGAAATGTTTCAAATTTCATTTTTTGTTTTCTTTAATAGTAGTTTACATTGAAGTTGTTTACTATTTTTCCATTACCTTTGTAACATTTTATTTTAATAGACCAGCAGTAACAGCTCTGTGCTCAAATTATTTTTGGCTTTGGCCACTGGAAGCTCTTCAGGTTGGTTCCTATTCCCCATTATTTGGGGTTTTGGCTCTTCCTTACTTTCTAATCCTAAAAGATGTCCCAGTCTCATCTTGTATTTTCCAAGCCCAGTTCTAGGATCAGTCATTCCTCTACGAAGCTTTGGCCCATGTACTGGAGAATGGTATTTAGAAACCAAGATCTGGGCTCTGTGTGCTTGTTGCTACTGTGCTGTCACTACTTCTAAGCCCTCTTAGCAGGCATATCTAGGAAAGATATGTTAATTTATATTTATGTGTACACATGTGTCTATAAATATTTCTGCATCTGTCTGTCTCTCTCTATATATATATTAAGCTGAACATGAGTTCATGTTGATATCTCTGACTCTAATCCAGTACCCCAGAGCTCATTCTAGCATTTTCCTTTTGCTTATTTGTAACTCCTCTTCTCTAGCAGAAACCTGCCTCCTGCCTACAAATTATTTACTTGTTTTTCAATCTTTTATACATGTAAAGTAGTTTTAGAACCATTTGCCGATACCCTGTGAGAAACAAACTTACCAGAGACCTCTCTGTGAAAAACAGAATGAAAGGCTGCTTGCCAATTGCACACATTAAAATGGCATGAGAGAAGTAAACATCTATTCTGTGAAGCCCATGAGTTAGTCTATCAGTTCTAAGATAATCAAATACGGAAGGAAGAGATGGAAGCAAAAGTTGGAAACTTATGTACACTACAGGATAGGAATATAGAAGGTTGTGATAAGGGCATTCAAAGGTGGTGGAATGGAGTGGAAAAAACCCAAAGGCCACTGTTGGCAAATGAGTTTATTTGCCAAGGATTTACTCCTGCCCAGCCCTCAATGAGAATAGATGGGTATCCCAGTGGGAGGTTAGGGGTTTAGCAGTCTTTCATTGATTACCTACAAGAGAAAAAGGTGAGATGCTTAGAGGCTATGGAAGTCTGAAAAACAAGAATTCATTCCCAAGCTTAATATTACTCAACCTCACTAGAACAGAAATACTTCATGTAACAACATGCATTGTCCACTTCTGACAAGGGGGAGTATTGGGTCATTGAACGAAGAAATGTAGAGATTTGGGTCCTGGCTGAGCTAAAAGGACTCAAGGAAAAGTCTGACTGTGGAAGTAATGGCTAGTAATCTGGACAAAAAAATAGGAAAAGAGCAAATTGTTGAAAAATACAATGAAGACAGCACAGGCATTTGTTGTACAATGAAAGAAGTAAGGGGCCCCCAAGCTGGTATCTTGGTCTATTTGCCGGTGAATTGCCTTCCAGGTTTAGAGGACATTGTCTTCTGCTACTTTTGTGCCTAGGATTTGGGGTACCCCAGTCCTCTGTTTAGGGATACAGCATCTGAGAAGAAGGTGAGAATCAGTGAAGACACACACTCAAGCACCCATCTCCAAACTCACTGCATTTTCCCAGCAGATGTTTCCACAGTAGGTCCAGCAGCACGTGTGATTTCTTTCTAGGCACTTAAAGGTTCTGGTACACTTCTTGGCACATTCATGGATCTTTGGCTCCCCCCAGCACTCTGCAAGTAACATTTCCTCCCTGCAATTGAGACGAGATGGTAAGAAGCTGACAGGGGCCCTTCATAATCTTAAAAGCCCCTCCTAGAATTCCAGCCCCAAGTCCCCACCAAGGTATCTATCTGCCTTCTGTGAAAAATTCCCTTCCTAAGCCTCCTCACCAAGTTTTCACTGACCCCCGTCACATCTTCACTGATCTCTTTGCCTTCACTGCTCCCCAAGTCCTACAGTGTTGCAGGCCTCTGGGTCCTCTTTGAGCATCCTAGAGGCAGGGCTCTGTATGCTCCCAGCATTCATGTGCCCCCCTATGAAGTTTACATTTTTATAATGGGAGATCTCAGAGCCTGAGATATCCTCTAGCCTCATTATCACACCTATTTGATAGTGCGGGAAGCTAGACCAGGGTGAGTAAGGAATGGATTCCCTCCCCTTGTCTTCCACTCATTGCTGACCCTACCTTTAATAACTCAGTCTCTCTCCAAATTCTTATCTCTCTCACCTTATTTTCTTGGCCCCCTCCATTGATTCCATTTTCTCATTATATGGCCCCCAACATTGCCCCAGGAAGGACCCCCACTTCATGTCTCTTTTCTATCTTTTCACATTCTTAAATATCCAACACTAAATTAAGGGTATACATGAAGAAACGGGAGGGAGGGTATAGCACAGTGGTTAGAGTTTATGCTTAACAGGCACGAGGTCCTGGGTTCAATCCCCAGTACTTTCATTAAAATAACTAACTAAATAAATAAACCTAATTACCTCCCCTCCACCCATTTAAAAAAAAACCAAATCAACCAACCAACCAAACAAACAAAAACCAAAAAGAAATGTCCATTTTGCACATAGGACACAGAGCTTCTGGAAGAACAGGAAAATATGGCAGCTCTATACTGGTGCCCCACCCTCCACCAAAGATAGCCTGACATGGGAAAATATTAGATCCTTATAACTTACAGACTGTATCTAAAAGCTAACAGATACTCATTGCTACTCTCAAGGTTAGAAGAAGAAGCATTGAAGGGAAATTCTTGGATCTCTGGGTATAGAAATTTATCTGATTCTCCAATAGGTGATCCAGAGAAGGTGGGTCCTGAGTCAGATGTGTAGGCATGAGACCCCTTCATTTGTCCAGAAACAAGCACAGCCTCATCACCCCTTTTGCTCCCCAGTCCAGCCGCATCACCCGTGGGTATGCTTTTCCTTCATTCCTCCCAGCACAGACAGGAGCACCGTACACACGAGCGTTACGAGGAGAGGTGTCCAGAGCTTCATGATGCTGACCATACACGTTTGAATAGATGTTGTCAGGATTTTTTTTTTCTTTCCCAGTTGCTGCTAGAGATCAAAAGACATAAATAAAGAGATTGTGAAGCAAGATGAAATTCTTACAGAATTTCTTTACACTTGGTCTTCTAATTATTCTTCCTTGCCCTCCACCCACCCAACAACATGCACACACCAAAGCTGGATGTTGACTTCACTAAAAGGTATCTCTCCATCTCATGCTGTATGCCTTCCTTTTGCAGGAAAAACTTTTTTGAATGTATTACTTCCCTTGATTAAAAAGTAATTCAAAAAATAGACTAAAAAATTTCTGCTGTATAGCACAGGGAACTATGTTCAATATCTTGTAACAACCTTTAATGAAAATGAATATATGTATGTATGTGCATGACTGGGACATTGTGCTGTACACCAGAAATTGACACATTGTAACCGACAGTACTTCAATTAAAAACTAATAAATTAATTTTTTAAAATAATTCAAATTCAGATTACAAAATTGTTTAAATTACTCGTTCTTTGACATAACCTTGGGTTATAACATTATATAAGTTTCACGTGTACAACATCATATTTTGACTTCCATATACACTACAGCATGCTCGCCACCAAAAGTTTAATTTCCATCTGTCACCATGCAAAATTCTTAAGACATATAAAGTACAAAGCAGGCAATGAAGTACTTTTAGTAACCCCACTATATGGGTGTAGTTATTTTGTCTTCTATAGGTGCAGATATATGGAAATCAATTGTTTTTATAAAATTGAAATCATTAGGCTTATTGTTGTATATCATGACTTTTTATTTAAAAATTTGTAACATGATATTAAAATAAAAGTAGCCAAGACCTTTGGATAGATCCTAAAGTGAGCTTGTGACAGATCAACTTGTAGGACTTTTTCAAAAGAGAAAGAAAGATGGCCCCAAAGTGGTTAAATGACCCTTAATATCCTCACTTGTTTTAAAGGTGAAAAATGGTCAAGGATTTAACATATTTGAGGGAGGAGATTTTTTAGCAGATTTTCTTTAAAGAATACTGAGCTCTCTTAATTCCAAGTCACTGGAAAGGCTTCAAGGAGACCTCCCATGGAGCTCCCTATGTGTCCCTACATGTTTGTGGAGACACAGGAGGCTAGTGTCTAAGTCACATCCAAGAGCACAAAAGGGAAGGAGGCTCTCTGAAGTGACCTACAGCCACAAGAGAGGGGCTACCGGCTGCACGACAGAATTTGATAGGGCAAAGGATGCAGGAAAGAGCCGATGTGGGTTTGTGCCAGATTCATTCCAGACAGGCTGCTTGGAAAAGCTATGGAAACTCAACAGAAGAAAGTAGAAAGTGAGTGGCCAGGGAAAGGTGTCACAATAAACCAGCCAGAAAGGAGATGGATTCGGCCAGATCAAGAGAACCACAGGTGAGAAACTTCCATCAGTTGGACTGGGGGAGACTCAACTTATGAAATCACAACAGAGTCAACTTTAAGCAATATCAAGCCCAGAAAGTACCAAGTTCAAAGCTACAACACTGCCTGCCAGAAAGAGCTGTCCTGACCCCTTTGTCTTGTCTCCCTCCTCCACCTGTAAAGTGGCACATAGCCAACTGCAGGAGAGGAAAGAGCAAGGAAATCGACCATTCTCTTCCCCAACTGCAGGTTTCTGGGTGCGGAGGAAGCCACAATTTAAATTCAAGCCTAGTGTTTTGACTATTACATGGGTTTCGACTTTTTTTTCTAAATTTATTATATTCTATCAATTAATAATATAAAATATTGTTATCTAAATTTAGGCAGTGACTAAAAAAGTCAAGTTCTATACCCAAGCCCTCATACAGAGTCAGGGAAAGAACTAGCTCTTTCGAATAAATTTAAATGAGACAAAGGACTAGCCTTTCAACATATTAACAGTAACTCTCCCCATGAATATTTCCCCAACATACTAGTTACACATATCATTATTTCCCCATGGATCATAAGACATCTGATTTCTCTTCCTTAGAGGGGAAAAATGTCTTTGGAAACCTCCTTGCAACTAAAATGTGATTAAATCCATTATTAGCTTCAGAGCACAAATTTGTAGATCTAGAGGTCCTAGGCAAAGATACTACCTACTTCAAACCCTAGGTAGGGTTGTTGTCAGTTTTTCCTCCATTAAGACTGGTTTATTCTACCAACAGGCTACACATGTGGTCTTAACCGTAAGAGGGAAACTCTCTCCCACTTGCTACCACACTGAAGACAGTGAACAAAACATGGGCACTGGAGTCAGAGAGACCTGGGCTTGAAACCAACCCCAACACATCTAGCTTAATATTAGCTATGTGATTGGTCAATCACCTAACTTCTCAAAACCTCAGTTTCCCTACCTATAATATGGGGTGACAGCAGCTTCATAACAAATGTTGACTATATAACACACTGGCACACAGAAAGTGCAAAATAAATGTTGGTTATTATTATTATTGTGATGATGATGATGATGATGATGATGATGCCCAGACTCTCTTTTCCTCTCCAAAGGGAGTTATTGAATTTTTAAAACAATTTTATTGAAATGTAGTTGATTTACAATGTTAGTTTCAGGTGTATAGCAAAGTGATTCAGTTACACACATACATACACATGTATTTTTTCTTTTCAAATTCTTTTCCATTATATGTTATTACAAGAAATAGAATATAGTTCCCTGTGCTATACAGTAGGTCCTTGTTGTTCATCTATTTTTTATATAATAATGTGTGTCTGTTAACCCCCAAACCCTAATTTATCCCTCCCCACCCTTTCCCCTTTTGTAACCATAGTTTGTTTTCTACATCCATGAGTCTGTTTTTGGTTTATAAGTAGAATTTGTATCACTTTTTTAAGATTTCACATATAAGTAATATCATATGATACTTGTCTTTGTCTGATTTAATTCACTCAATATAATAATCTCTAGGTTCAAATTTTATTTAATTTTATTAACTTTGTTGTGGTCTTTTTAATTTTTTTAAACTATTTAACCTATTTGGAATTAATTCTGGTGAGTGGATGAGGTTCTATCCTTCATTCATCTGTCTTAAATTTATTTGTCCTGCAAAGATTTATATTAAGTGACTACTATAAGCCAGGCACCTTTCTAAGTACCGAGAATATAGTCCTGAACAAAGCTGGCAAAACCCCTGCCCTCATAAAGCTTAATCCTAGTAGAGGGTTCCGACAATAAACAAGATACATGAAAGAAATGCGTAACAACAGATGGTGCTCAACGCGTAGGAGAGAAGATAAGAGGAGGTCTCAGCCCCTGGAACACAGAATATGCCAAAATAGTTCTGGCTATTATTTTAGGCTATTATTTTATTTTATTATTATTTTATCATGGTAGTGAGATTTGGGATTCTGAAAGAAGAGGTTAAGTACCATTCAAAAAAATTCCCAGCCCTTTGCCCACTCCTCTCTCACTCCCAACCTGGTGCTTCACGCTCCTGAAGCCAAACAGAAAGGAAGCTACAAGAAGCAAAATCAAAGGAGAAGTCTGGTAATTGTGAATTAAACAGTCACAGTGGAGTAATTGTCTCTTTCCCTGCCAATAACCAAGTTTCCATCAAAGTCTTTATTCTCGCTTCAGCATTTTCAACCAAGCAAAAGAAAACCCACATGCATCGGTTAAAATTCTCTCAAATGCTCAAAAGCAGGCATGACACCCTGAGACATTTTAATATTTGCAAAACTCTCTAGCTTGTTCTCCTCTTGGTTTATGTAAAAGATTATAAAATAGGAAAACAAAATTTGAGGCATGTGGACCATTAGATGGGTCGCCTTTAACTTTTAAAAAACTATTATTTGGAAATAATTTCAAAGTTACAAGAGTAAGCACAGTACAAAGAGCAGCTGTATACCATTTGCTCAGATCCACCTATGTTAGGAACTGACCCCTAATTATTGCTTCCTCTCTCTTTCACATATACATATATATACATATTTTCTAAACCATTTGACAGTAAGTGTTATATATCACGGTCCTTAGTAAGGAATAATACTTCAGTGAGTATTAACAATAGGGACATTCTCTTATATGATCACAACTATCAACTTCATTAAGCTTAACATTTATAAAATATACTTTTATCCAATCAACCATGAGTTTCCCATTTTATAAATTCACCCAATAATGCCCTTTGTCTTTTATGACATTGAAACTTTTGAAGAACACAGCCAACTTTTTGTTCCAAATAAACATTCATCATCTGGGGCTTGTCTGAAATTTCTTCATGATTACACTCAGGTCAGGCATTCTCAGTGGGAATACTCTGTAGGCAACACATAGTGTCCTCGGGGTATCACTTGTAAAATGGACCCGGTGTCCATCCGCGTCATTTTTCTCTGTTTCAGTTTCTCCATTCGAACAACAAGGACAATCATCTCTTTTATAGAGGGATGGTGTTGGCATGATCTGGAAGCATGATCTGCACAGGGAAGTCACCCTATCAAGCCATTTTTCAAGCTCGCTCTTCCAGCCCCAGAACTCTGATCTCCACCTACCTCAGAAGATGTTAAGTTGGAAGTGCCGGTTATTTGTTTGGTGACCCTTCTTCCTGGTCTCTGCGGACCGCAGAGCCTCTGCACAGGGGCAAGCTGATGAGCAGAAGCGAGTTCAAAGACTCAAAATGTAATCACGATTCTGGTTGTGGCAGATCTGTGGGTTCTGCCCCAAGCCATAACTTGGGTACACACAGAATATTATCACTGAATTCCTATGCAAGGAGTACTTTCTGTTTTGCTTTTTGCTGCAGTTAATATAGGCAGAAGCAGAACACTGTAGAACTGCAGGAGCCTCCCCTCCCCCAGCACACACATTTCCTGGGTGTCTGGGTTCCCCTCTCCCCATTCTTGGGTGTCTGGGTGACTGCGGAGGTGGGGGGATCTGTAGGGCTATTTTTCTCTAACATTTGTGCGATGACTTTTGTAAGGTCCCGTCTATCTCTATATTAATTTCTCCATTGCTAGCATCAGCCTAACTCTACCTTATCACCAGTGCCTTGTGGTTTTTGAGCTGATGAAAT